TTGAAGGGAAACTTTGTAGGACGCTGTAACATAAACACACTGCAGCTGAGGCCAACATATCCACTGACGGCCTCATGTTGTGTACAAATCCTTAGCAGCAAACCTCATTGCAACTGAACATAGCATTGATTTTCATAATCCTTAGCCTCAATTTTCACTGTAATCCTTTGAAAAAATGAGTGAAAGGCAAACAGGCAGACAGGGAGAGAGAGAGAGACCGAGAGATAAGAAGAGAGAGAGAATAAATCAGCAATGTTAACACAGAAAGAAAAAGGGAGAAAGAGAGAAGAGAGGATATACGTCCATATATATATTCACATATATATATATATATATATATATATATACAGTATATATACTAGGCTTGAGCGATATGGTGAGATAATCGTCCAATACGACATTAGTTGGCCACAAAATGGTCCTCACGTGTCCTGTTATGAACTCCCCGTTCAACAGAATACACAAGTCTACCACGACTCCATCCAAAAGGAGCAGCCGGACCAAAAACACCTACCACAATGAGCAATCAACCCTCGATCTTTGGGGCTTTCGCAAAGGCAACAAAATATCTGTGTGACTATAAATTTATCATTGTTTTTCTGAAAGCAGTATCGTCAGGAAGGGAATTTCAATATCATCCCAGTACTTCCCATTAATTACCTAGACTCTGGCGGCCGGCCAAAGTCTATTTTCTTCCACCACAGTTTTATAATGAACCACACATATTGTTTTACACTTTTCAACAGGTGGGCTGGCTGGCCCCCTCCGCAATCGAATGGCTACAAAGAGATGCAAAACAACCTCAGAGATGCGAATCATCCACAAAAAGACTCAACATGAGTTAAAGTTACAAAACAACTACAAATAGTCACAAAAAAACCCAAAGAGATGATAAAAGACTACAAAGAGACACAAAATGACTACAAAGAGACATCAAACAACCTCAAAGAGATACAAAACTACCTCAAAGAGGTGCAAATCATCCACAAACAGACTAATAACGAGTGCAAGGAGTCACAAAACAACTACAAAGAGACGCAAAATGACTACGAAGAGATGATAATGCAACACAAACAAAAACAAAAAATGACCACAAAAAAATGGCAAACTCATTCAAAGGAAAGCAGAACTACCATAAATTCGTTGTGGGTGTCTTGTTCCTGTGTAGGAGGGATGTCGTGGGGTCAGGAGCTTGAACATGTCTGTGCCCGCTGGCCCATTGTCTCATAATCTGTCCAAGTCAGTAATGTGTGGAGGGCTTCCAGGGGGATGTTGTGTGTACTTGTGTGTGTGCGCATGTACCCAGCTCAAGCAAAACAAAGGCAGCTGCCCACCTTCCCTGTTGGCCTGTGGACTGTCTGGCTTTTCATTGAAATTCTCTTTGCTCTTCATAGAATGGGCTTTAATAAGGTCGCAAGTGGCGTCTTTGAAAAGCCCCGCGCTCCTTTCTCGGGAGGTCTAAACCCAGCGTTCACACGGCAAGCGTCCCCCCAGCCCCTCTCTATGACTAGCCCAGTATTTGCTCCTCCTCTACCATAATTATATCAACACCGATGGGTGTTATTGACGGGTTTGAAAGCATGGCTTTTTGCGGGTAATTATGGTTTCACACCACAAATTGATCTAAATGGGTTTTTGCGACACTCTATTGATCCTTGAGTGGTAAATTGGTATTGTTTTTGCCTGCCTCCTGCCTCCAGAGCACATAGAGCTACAGAGGGATGGTGTAAGGAAAGCAAGGCTTTTTGTAACAGCAGGGTCAAATGCAGTATACTGTAGTTTAGCCAAACCAGGTTTAACCAATGTACAGTATTTCAGTCAGTCACATCACTGAGCACAATTGTATTTTCCTTATTTGTATCTAAATGATGATGACAAATATAATCAAAGGAATGTTGATTGATGAAGGGACTGGGATGGAAAAGCTGTCCTGACCATAATAATTATAATATTAATAAAGCACATTATGACAATAGCCCATCATCATAAATGTCACACATGCTATTCTGTTGTCAAAGTGTATTAAAAGACATCAAAATGTCGTGTCATGATTGCACTGAAGAGCACACTGATGGTTTATTCCTCTAAAGGCCACAAAGAATGCTGTTGATGCCACCAGCAATGGCTCGACATTTTGGAAAGCAATACATTCATATCATAGTGGCTTTAATAGTACTTATAGTTCCAGATCTCTGACTTGTTGCCCAAATGTCTCAAAGAGATTAAAGGACTACTTCACCTACACAATGACCATTTGTATATCATAGAGTTGGGTCAATTTCTTGCATTTTACCGGTCCGGGGCTTCCATGGGTTTGATTGTATGCAAACCTGCTAAACACGCATTTTTCACTATGACACGTTCTAGCAAATTAAAAAGTAGCCTACATTAGCACACCAACTAAATACAACTTGAATTGCATTAATAACAAGAAATATGACTATCAGACTAACGGAGCCACTAGACAGGTTGTGCACAATTTACCGCCGAGCGTATGCCAGCTACAGGAAGGAGATCAAATTTCAGTAGAGCTAAGGGGGGAAGAGGCGTAGATGAGCGTTGTGTTTGTTTACGAGAAAGTTCATGTGTTTTTTGGGGCAACAAGACGGGTCTCGCCTAGCCAGTACAAAGTTATAGTTGAGAACGTAGCAGCGCAGTGTGTGTACAGTTTATTCGTCTGTGAATGAATGCTGCAACTTCTCAACATCAAAGCCCCTGTTTGCACTGCACTCATACGGCGGTTCCGGTTGATAACATCGCAGCAGCCTAGCAGCACCCACCCTCTGGTTCCCCCTCATGACACCGTTAGCTCTGCCAGCACTTTGGTCGTTGCTTGCAAATACCCCCAAAAATGGAATGATTCTGTTGGTGCCGTAAGATGCAACAGTGAAGTCCGTTTACAGCCCCTTACCAATCAGCTGTGCACTATGTCATGCAAGTCATGAGAGACAGCAAGCTACGACGGGTCAGGATCTAATGTATGTCTGTGGGCTTCGTGATTGCCTGATCTTCCACGGTGGCCATATAGTCCGACCAGAAACAACAACTTTTAAAAGAATGGTTTGTAAGTTTTGGGACACACACTTTCAAGATATTCACTTGTTTGCAGAGAGTTGAATGATGCCATTCTCATATCTCATATCTATCTTCTAATTCAACTGTAGAAAAGTGAAGAAGCGGATTTTCCCAAAAATGTCCAACAACTCCTTTAAAAATGATTTCTTGGATCAATACGACAAAAGCTTCCGCAGCTTCTATGTCGGCTGCAGATGACATCGCCAAGACGGACACATCAGTCGCTACTAAATGGTTAGAGCGCAATGATAACACGCTCCCAAACACAACACAACTAATATGAATAATGCATCAGACTAAATGATGAAGTGAAAACAAAATAACACTTGAGTCTGATTATCAGGCCCCTTTGAGTCCCACATACCCTAAAACGCAGTGGCTAGCAATTTACGGGGCATATATTTATCCCTTCGCAGTGTTTGTATGAAAATAAGAAAAAGGCATTATAATGAACACATCACTTTTCCCGTCTCCTGGCTTTTGATTACAGTCATCTCTCTCTTCTCATTGTTTGATTAACTGGCGGTTTTGTTTGATTAAAATCCGCTGCCGCCTGATTGGAACAATATTCATTTTAATCAAAATGATCCTGCGCCGTGCCAGCGGTTGGCTGCTGTTTGATGAAAATTACCTGCTGTTGGGTTGCGATCACCTGTCTGATTATTCGCCGAAACATTTTCTTGTCAAAGTACCTTGGGGCTTTTGAAAGATTAAAAGAGAACTTGTAGTTTCCATTCTACAAGAAAGGACGCTGAAATATTCATGTCTGTTTGTGTCAACTGCTTTTTTTTAACAGGATACATTACTGACTGAGGCTGCCTCTCTTGTCTTATCCATTGTCTTATTTGTTTTTTGGGGGGGGTAGGCTTTGTTCCAGTTATGCTGCACATGTTTGAGGCTCCATTATCTCGAATGCTTTCAGTTTTGTGTGCACGCACCATCGACACTGTGCTGTTGTGACCTTATGAATTTGACCTTTGGGGATTAAGAAATTGCCAATAAATCAATTTCCGTGTTTTAGCAGAATGTTAAGGTGCATTTGTGAAAGTGGGTGGCATCACGAGGAGTGGACTCCAGCTGTTTGGTATTTGCAACAAGGCTGAGAATGCATCATGAAGCCATTCGTTGGCATTACAGTTACGGCACACCAGGGTACATTATCTTTCCATTACATCAGGCAGTTTGATAGAGCCATACTCTCAGGGCACTTCTAATTTCAAGCGGTACGTCTGGGATTTCTTACACGGCCTGCCTTATATTTTGCTGATACCAGTCAATCCTTGTTCCTCACCGAATCAGCGACGTTGGTTCACTGAAGCTGCCGAAAGAAAGTGCTCCGATGCTGCTGTCTGGTGCAGAAAAACCGTGCACCAGTCGAGCCTTCATCTAATTGAGCTCTGCACCTGCATTGCTTATCCTGCACCCGTGAGGGTGCTTCTGGCGCTGCTCCTTTGCTGATGCGCGCCGATAACATATCACCCGAATCCGTCTCAACCGCAACAAACGGTTAAACTCACGGCGAACGTTATTTCTTCGCTGAACTAGTTTTCCTTGGATGAGTCAAAGTCATTTTTGGCCTGACATTGGCAAGTCCTGTAAGGATAGTAATTGGATTTCCAGAATAAGCGAAAAAAAAATCTCCTTTCTCTCTGTGCCCTGCTCTAGTAATTGAGGTTAAATGAAATGGTCAACCATGCAGTAAACCTTCAGTGGGTTTTCAGCAGCGGATGTGTGCAGTATAAAGAAGAGTTCTCATCTGAATTCTTAGTGTTCAAACTCGCAAACATTTTTTGGAAAGGCAAATATTTATGTATATATATATAGGGGGACTTTTTTGACAAAAGAAATATGAAAAGGTGTCACAATCACTTGAGTCTAGCTGTGTAGGTCAACTGGTGTCACGTGGATTTGAAGTGCAAACTCACCAAACATCCTCGGCGTCCACGTCGCATTCAGCCCCGAACTGGCAAATATCGCAGGTAGACGTTTCCTTCTGCCCTGCCTCGGTGGAGCCCTCTCCTCCTAAAAAAAAAAAAAAAAGGGACAGAGGGAGACAAGAGGAGAAAACGTTTCACGCCTGTTTCACCCAAGACGGATCTGCAACAGCGTGTCTGCGACTGTATTTGTCTAACACCCAACTGGTGCATTCAGAGGGAGTACAAACCTGTCACAAGGGCGCGTAAGAATGCACCCCCCCATTGCAATGCAATGTGACCGTGAGACATCAGCTTTAGACAACACAAGTGCATTTATATTCTGCCATAATCCCACTGAAGCCATCTCCTTCATCCTTTCACCCCCCCCCCAGACTCTCATCTATCACTCCCAATATCCCCACTGATCTTTTTGGAGTCCCACTTTTATTTCATCCCGCTGATTTCCTTGCGCTGGGAGTGCGACGGGGTCGGTACTGCCGTCGGGCTTACGGCGGCTTAGGGACCCCGCCGGTGCATACAATATCTCGCCTCATGAGCGGCCGAGGGGGAGAGGGAAGTAGAGAGAGAGAGAGAGAAAAAAAAAAGCAATCTGGCCAATCTGAAATTGCATTCTCCTACCACAGAGGACTCCTCCAGTCTCTGCCCGCTTTGGCTCTTCTTCTCTTTCCCCTCGGCCCTCATCTAGAAAATAGAAAAGCTCTATTTTTAAACTTACTAGGGCCCTTGAGGACAACATTTTGAGAAGAAGGCAAAGAGGTGGAACTTGGCATCATTTCCACATGTCATATATTTAATCCCCCCCCCCCCCCCCGCACACACACCTGCACAGACACCCGCATCCCTCCCTTGTGTCGTCACTTGCATTTCCCTCCTGAAACTTTTGTTATTTCTCGTGATCCCTGGCGGCACGCTGGATGAATTGGAAAGAACTCTTTTCGGGAGGTTTAACCTGATTTTCCGCCATCACACTTAAGTTGGGCTTGACTCTTATTTTAAGGTCAAAGTCAGTCGACGCTACTTCGCTGTCTTTCACAGTTGAATCCAGTTAGCATGTGACTCTCCTCAGCTTGGATTTAGTGGCTGTTGCGTCGGATTCCGCCAACAGCTTCGTTCGCCTCTTTTGCCTGTGTCCAAACACACAGTGCGGCCAACAAGATTGGAAAGTTCCTTTGCCGAGGATGTTAAACTCCTTTTCAAACGCCCAGCCTTTGCTCGCAATGTTCTTTCCTTTTGAAGCGGCGTCTGAAGCTGCAGGTGTTGGACGGCAGCCACGGTGGTCGTCCTCTGAATGCTGAACATTTCAACAGTCAGGTGGCAAGATGTACGTTCTGTATTCACAGCTTTGGTTCGCTTTACCTTCAGGTCACAGGACTGGCAGGACTACAAGGTGTGAAGCTGTATTGGCATGTAGCCAACCAGTGGAGCTTGAACGCCAAATTGCCTCGTATATATTTCTGGAATCTAATCTATTCAAAGTTTCCACCGGAGCTTAATTTGTTTCCAAAATATTCCTTGAAAAGTTTCTCCATGAGGTTCCCTCTTTGTTGATAAGATAATTAAGCACTGAATGTAGTGGAGGCATCTACAAATAATGGCCTTTTAGTAGAGGAAATCATTCTGGCTTACAGTTTCACTGCGGTGAGGAGGTTACAGACTTCATGTGCTGGCAGAAAGACCAGCAGCGGTACGTGCAAAGCTGGCAGTAACAAGACTCTTTATACCGCCACCTGCCTCTGCTACTGTTATCATGAACCTCATCATCGCTTAACAAAACTTTATCTGGAAAATTTCAGTTTACCACTGAGATCCATCGCCCTCCAAACAACCATCTACAGCTCCTGACAGAAATCTGAGGGGAAACAGTTTCTTATAGCTCATTTCATTAAAGGGGCACTCCACCACTTTTTACTCATGAAGTTCAGTTTACCAATCACAAGGTGTATCAGCCGATGATGTCATCGGGTATATTTTGTCTTGGGATTGATACGTCACTTAAAAAAGAAAAACGATGATACAAAGAGAAGATGTGGGATATGAAAGAAGTGGGTATTCAGTTGACATGTAGGGTCTAATAAAAGATTCCATCAAGTTGCATTGTGGGAAATGTACAGTAAGATCCAGTGTTTTGGGGTCTAAAAGTCAGGATATTTTGTGCTCAGCTGCACATATTCAGACCATTCTCCGTATTATCTGTCTCTTGTGACATCTACGACATTACTGAAGTGCAATATTAACATGCTTTAAGTGGCCGAGTGAACCAATTCCAAATCCACGCGCAGAAAAATAACAAGCCTCAATAAAGAATCTGTTATTTATCATGTAATATAAAAAAGGTGATGAAATAAAACAGTCGGGAAAATGCTATCAAAAAGTATTGAAACATGAAAAAGAGAAAATAAATTATGTAGTAAAATAGTTGCTGTCGTAGTGACCTCATAGTGAGCTTGTTATAAGTTTCTCTTAAATAAGAGTACTTTTAGTCCCTAGTATGGTGTAAACTCTCAAAACTCTAGATCCCACACTAAATGTACCATAATGAAACTCGATAGCATATTTCCGTTAGACCCTCCCTGCCCCGGTTACTGTCCATGTCCTTCAAACTCTTTGCCCCTGATTTGACAGACAGGCTGTCTTTTATAAATATGTCGTCTCAATCTCGAGGGTTATTTCCTCCTGAGCCACAGAAGACATTACGCAACTCGCAGTACTACACACAACAGATCTTAATGCCTAAAATTAGCGAAGTTCCCCTTTTCAAACTCGCTAATGCCAGCAATTCTTACAAGCCCATGTTCCTTAATTCATAGACTTTCAAGGCGTGTTGTCAGTGTTGTCCTCAAGTGTTCAATTGTGCGAGACAGTTCAATTATATGGGCTTGTTTTTCCTGTCTCACATCAGAGTTCAAGGTACTGGAGATGCAGGGACTGCAGTTAATTGAATCAGCTCTTTGACCGCTGACGTAAATGTGATTTCCCTCATTTCCACCCGTCGGGTATGTTGTGGCATGTAAAATTTTTCACAGGGCTCTCGCAGGGCACCGGAGCTAGCCAGCCTCTCTGGCTGCTTTGTCCTCTGTCAAATGATCAGCTCCACATAAAGGCTTGTGGGCAGGCAAGCATGTAAGCTCTCCCACGACTCTCCTCTCCTACTAGACAGAGGAGAGAGGGGGGAGGGAGGGGAGGGAGAGACTGTACATGATTCTGCGATGCCTGCTCGTATTTCTTCCAAGTGCAAAATGCCAGCATTGCCTCATCTCCCTCTTTCTTTCTGTCCCCTGCTCCCCAACACTACAGCCAGCACATCTTGTATGCACACACTCTTTCCCAGGATCCCCTGCCACGGTACTGCAGGCGCAATTACCAAAAGGCGACTGGGGACTGAGAGTGTTTTCCACTCCTCATATCCCCGATAGAGTCTCCTGTAGCACTAACACAACATCGGCCCTGTTTCTGTGTCTGCTAATCCCTGGAATCAGGAGACACGGCTGGGTAATGACTGAACAGATTAGCCCATCCACTGCCCCCGTGATCAGCCCCCGCCAACCCATACATCACCCAGTATCGATCCGAGTCTGGGCCAGACCGGTCGGCTGGCCTCCTCTGTGACTACTGTCCTAACCTCACCTTCATCTCAGCCGAATCTTTGCTTGCCTTTTTCTTTCCTTTTGTGTCAAGCAGAATAAATTCACAAAGGTTCTGTGGAGCTTCCTCGGCGGGTGAAAGGACGTATTTAATCCCCTTACTGGTGTCTGGAGCTTGGCCTTGCTGTACGTACCATATGCATACAAACTCACATAAAAATGACAACAGAATTCAACTTCTGCATTTAAACCACTAGATTCCAGCCCTGCACTCACCTTTTCCCACAGAAAAAGGGGAAAAGTTTTTCTGCTCCTGTAACTTGTAAAATAGAAGCAGGGACAGCCACTGTGCAACGCAAACTAGCAAAAAATACTTGTTATAGCATATCAAATGTTTGTTTTTTTAAACTCACTTGTCAAAATAAAAGCAATGAATGTATATATCCATCTGCACATTAGCTTATTTGATGAAATTCCTAGTATATTAAACAGAAGCAAGTTATCTAAGCTTGATATGAATTAAGGACGAATATTATGCACAAAATAATCAATTGTACAAATTCAATTTACAATAAACATTACAAAGTTGAAGAATAAGTTGAGTGGAGATCATTTGTATATATCATGGTGTAGAAGGACTTTAGATTAAACAGGCCTAAATCTGGATAAATGTAACAGCTGATCAGTCATAGGACTTTATGATTACATTATAACTCATTGAACGTTCCAAACAAATCCGATGAGGTGCTCAGATTGAATGTGAAACAACTTTTCACCTAATAATTTACGCAAATCCATCCCAAACAGCCACTAAAAGCATGGCGGAATTAGCACGCGAACTAGCCAGCTGACTGCTAGTTAGCTAGCGAACACGTTTGTTTTTTCCACCATGCTTTACTGCTGCACTGGTCGCAGAAAATAAGCCAAAGCTGTCAATCATCTGGCGATGGCGATGCGCTGTCCTTTGTGTGTGTGGAGGAAGCATTAAGTTGTTGAATTGTACTCCTTTACTTTGGCTCTCTACTGCAAAACCTCACCTTAGTGAGTCAGCCACTTGACCATCCTGCTACGTTGATTTAAACTTCTATTTTATTTCCGTGAGTCCAAAAAGGTCACTGGTGAATGAGGTCATCTTAATGATATACAGGATTTCATGGCAAAGATGACACTCAAGACACCCTTGCCAGGGTGATGCACTTGTCGCTGCTTTATGTCTATCTGGGTTACAGTTTTCCAGTGACCACATGGAGACTCTGAACCTATGTGGAAGGAGGTTCTATGCTTTAACAACACCAAAATAGATGGTCTCAATGGCTCAAATTCTAAGGACCTCATGCAACACGACAGAACTTACGTCCTTGTGCAACAGACGAATGGGGGACAAGTTGCGGTGTCCAATTTGTCCCCAAGCTGATCGACCTATTGACATAAACTTAAGGCTTTAATGCTGCCAAAGCCTTGACTATATACTGACACAAGGGGTGAATGTAATCATGTTATGCTT